GCTGGACGAGGACGTGCTCAATATTGTTTAGTACAGATAACTTCGAAACAAGTCGAACCGAATGCAACCCCCTCAAAACAGCCACAAGGACACCGCCCCCATCCTTTTTCCCAGTCGCAGAACGATCACGATCACATCTATATGTCGTGTAACGTTCATCAATGAACTCACCATCGCATATCTCCGGTGTCAACCAGGTCTCAGTCAACACTATGATATCATAGCAATTCGCCAAGATATTCATGTAAAGAATGTGCAATTTGGTACGAATTCCCCTGCAATTTTGGTAATATACAGTTAGTTTATCATTATCCATGTTATTAGTAAATGCTGCACTTAAATATAAATATAAACCGCTCATCATACACTGCAGGTGTTTTGGATTTCTCAATAAAATTCAAACAGTTTAGAACGCAATGCATCAATAAGAACAATTTATTTCTATTTAGTGACTGATAAGTACATTGTTCCGACATTAATAGGTAGGAAATTACAACTTTATGTGATACATAAGCTATAACAACTCCATCTCCAACCATACAGTAAACTATCATCAAATAATAATATAAAATATGAATGTGCAGACACAAAAAACAAGCAACAACAATGCATGGTGATGTCTTACTAGTACGTGAACCCGCAAGGTAAACCTGACCCATAATCAATAATAATTCAAAACCATCGCTATAAAACAATGTCACAACATAACTACAACACAGTTTTTTATCGCAGCGAGATATTGTAAACATGCGGGCACTAACAATTATAAGCGGCAGACACGTCACAAAAAATTCATAGGTACTTGTACAATTACAGTCATAAAACCAACAACAAGTGGTTGCTAGCTAACCATAACATTTATTTATGTTTCAAGAATACATGTTTATTATACAATTTTGAACTTAAATAAATAATGTTTTACAATTGAATTGTTAGGCTGGTACCATTTATTTGAGCATGAGGCAAACTTATATACACAGAAAAATCTTATGGACTAACAAAATAACACAAACTATACATCGCACAAGTGGTTGCTAGCTAACCATAACATTTATTTATGTTTCAAGAATACCTATTTATTTTACAATTTTGAACTTCAATAAATATTGTTTTACAATTGAATTGTTAGGCTGGTACCTAAATGCATGAGGCAAACTTATCTACACAGAAAAATCTTATGGACTAACAAAATAACACCAACTATACATAGCTACGTGCAAAAATAGCTTATTAATTATTCTATAATGTTCACACTGCTGAGAATCAGGCTACACAAAGCAAAGTGCCGGCTAGGATTCGAACAATCAACTCGTACCACCATACAAAGATTCTTATATATATTATAATAAAATATCTTCTTTTTGCAGTCACCGCCGCCACCGCCGCGCCATATCAGTCTTCTGTTTATCGCTTTTTACTTCCATTTATAATTTCCGTGCAATCTGAATCAAATGCTGGAAGACGCAGTTTTCGCTGCAACAAATGAATTTACACAGTTTTGTTAGACTATTCTTACTGAACCCACACCTCAGAGCCCTGAGAAATAAGTTAGGAAATGAATAAGACTTATATTTTTATACCTTTTAATTCCTTGATGTCCAGACATTTAGCATTTTTCTCAACTCTTCTCAAAATAATTTCCGGCAGTGTGTACTGCCGGAAATTATTTTATCTTTTAAAAACTGTCACCAACTTCGGCATCATAGTACTGATAAATTCCTCATTCTGGTTAACTTCTATGACAGTCAATGGTTGGGTGACTGATATATAGCAAATGAAGTAACATTTATTCATTTTGGTAATTCGCAATTGACCCTGGACCTAGAATCAAAATAATAATAGCTGTTAAAAAGAAACAATCCAAGAAATACATTATTTTTTTTATACACACATACCAAGAAATAATGATATTTGAAAATAATGAAATAATAATAATGATATTTGATAATAATGATATACTTACTTGATAATAGTAGTTATGCTTTTTGTTCATAACTAAAACATCATTTTCCAAATGAATAGGAAAATTTCTATTTTCTGATGCTTATCGAATATTTTGAATATCTGTAAAAAAGAAAAGTTTTTAGGCTTACGCTACTGAACCCTATTTAAAATATTCACACGACAAAAACTAGTTATTTGTATATTTTTATTATCGAATAATTTTACCATCAGGGCTAGCTACTAAGAATCCAAATTCTTCATTAATGAAAAGTCCTGATGGCCTGACTATTTGCCATATTATTGCATAAACATGCTCTATGCAACATGTTCATTTTGTTTTCCATACATCATATCTTTAGTACAAATATTATTTTTATAGAGAATGCATTTCACATGATTGTGACATGGTGTGGCATTGGTTGGAGTGTAGCAAAGGGTGTGCAAGGAGTTTAGGACTTTTAATTATTTTTTCATCAAAAATGATAATTCTTATAAGTGGCTCGGTTTTTCATTTCTATCGTTTAGTATACCTAAAAATAAGATGACTATTATCTGGGCACTTTTTATCTACTTCAGGTTCGCCTGAAATTGAGCCCTAAAGGTCAGTTGGGGGAGTATGTAAAACACTTTTTGGGCACCCCAACACATTTGGTTAGGTTAGGTTAGAACTGTGACCCTCATAAGGCCTAGATAAAAGGTGTCCAAATGATTTTCGCTTTATTATTAGGTATACTAATCAGTGAAAATGAAAAACTAGCCATTTATAAGAATTTTCATTCTTGATGAAAATGAAAAATAAAGTCCTAAACTCCTTGCACACCCTTTACTACGCTCTGACCGTGGCATTACGACGTTTGCATACCTAAAATGAACAAAGTGACAATCATTATTCTGCAATTTGTTAAAACTTTCTCAATACATAATAGGTACTAACCTTATCGAGCATAACTACCTTTTCTAGAACATAAACCAATGAGTATCAAATAAACTTCACTCACGTAAATCTGATTTGAAATCCTATAGTAATCTGATTTCTTCACTATAGATCACTAAAAGAACTTTCATGATGTCTTATGAATGCGGCTTGCACCTTTTTCCTTGAATTTTGCGGCCCTGAATACATAGTATGTCGTATACACGCAAGTTTATTAGTCGGGTTCATTTTAGGCAGTTCAGTTGCAATTCAATCTCAACATCAAATGTATCTTATTTATGAAATGTTTCAAGAAATTTGTAATAGCAGATCTAATCTAACACCACCATCAAGTTGTCAAGTGCAGTCAAGTTCTATTAAGCAGTGTTGCCAATTGCCAACACGACTAATACAAAATCTGGGAGACTGCTACTGAATTAAAATGTCAAAATTATTCTAAATACTATAAAACTATGCTAAAATACTGTGCTAACATTCTTCAGTGTGAAATAAAACATCGTTTAATTTGAATCTTTAATAATCAAGAAAATTCGAGTAAGAATTAAGAAACATTATAATACAAGTATCCGTACTTGTTGTTATATGTACTAGTGTTATTAATATATTTTTTTTAAGTAATAATAAACATGGTAAATATCCCGTTTAAGTTGTAATGATACTGGTGTTTATTGTTTCGTGTGGATTTCATGACAAAGTCTCTTCCGAGCCCCTTTTCTTTAGTAAATAAAGCTCGTAGTAAAGTTTCGTTGCTAAATTGGTGTACGGATTCTTAAATATTATACCAAAAGGTTCAATTTTGCGTTGAAGTTATAGTAATACCACATTCTATTGCCATTTATTTTTTAATTCAAAGTACGATCTTTTAAAATGTATGGTACAATCTTCCAAAAAAATAAAGTTGGCAACCCTGCTTGACGCACTTTGTGTATGTGTATACATGCTAATAATACTAGTAAAATAAGCAATTAAGAAAAATTTAAATGGTTTGTCTGTATATTCACTAATGTTACTGGTTTCACATGATTTAAATATGATTTAATCAATAGATGTACGTAGTACCTACGTTTCATTATTGTGTAGGTAGCTTCGCTAATCACCTGATTTATAACTTACTTATACATCAAATTCTATTCTCTGATTTTATTCAACCCAAACCAATGGATTAGTACCTAAGAGTATCAGAAAATGTGTTATCAGTATCTACTTACATACATTACAAAGATTTTTGAATCTGCAGTCAAGGAATGTAGTGTGTACTAGTACAGGCAGGCTGCAATCACGGCGTCCTGACCTATCGGTTGACGCAGGTCCTCACCAGACCAAGGACACATCGCAGAGATATTTTTTTCACTTTATGTAAAGCATTAATTCTCATCCCATTATAAAAAACATTTTATCAATCGTTAATGTTAACTCCGTGGGTAAACCCGCGCGCCCGGTGCTAACTTGCTAGAAACACAATATTCTGGAAATGATTCGCAAGTTGTCAAGATTCAAGACATCACGCATGGACGGAATGGCAACAGCGCACGCGCTGCTTCTTGAACGGCAACGTCGCATTCCCGCACGCGTCACGTCACATTGATGCTTGTTCGAATTATCGGACAGCGCCATCTATTATGAATGTTTACCAATTGTAAACTCGGAACACAACAGCAACCAAATTTCTCGGTAGTTCTATAAATTTCTATCAGATGGCGCGATTCAGGTCACTCACACATGCAAAGACTTATCGTTTTTTATTCGGTCTAATTCTCCTAGAAATACAATTTTTTAATAAAATTTGGGCTATACACAAACATAATACATTATAAAGTCTCATTATAGTTCCTTTTCTTCTGCAGAAACTGTTTATTTACGAAGATTTCCGCACCTGAAAAATGTATGGCGAGGTCTAACTAGGCATCCACCTTAATCGAAAAGTTTCGAGCTTGATCTACAAAGAGTTTAGGTTATCCAATGACTGTAGCTCGCAAAAAATTAACGTCCAATAATGTGACCATAGCTAATTCTCTATTGGATGAAAAGTTTTAGAGCAAAAATGTTCTTTTGTTCACCAAATGGCACCAGATAACACCGATTAACAAGAATTAATGAAGTATGATAAGCATTGTAATCTTACCACTGTCTTCCCCCTCTCAGCCTGTTGTAGCGCGCAGTTGAGGATCTCGTCGTCGGGAGACTCGCACGGGTAAATGTGGGAGTTCGCGTCGCGGAGCGGTTGGCCTGCTCATACATAACATATTATATTTATAGATGTCATCACAAAGATCGAAATGCGCCCTCACTCTAGAATTTTCTCTTTGTTAAAAGAAAGAACCACACAAACTTGACTGCACGGTTGGTGTAGAGTGTAGCGGGTTCGATGCCCGCTCAAAACAACTCAACTCTGTGTCATCCACAAATTGTTGTTTCGGGTCTGGGTGTCATTGTGTATGTGAACCTGATGTTTGTAAACGCACTAACGACACAGGAGAAAACCCTAGTGTGGGGCAACGCTTTATTAAGAAGAAGAAGGATAATAGACCTATTCTTGCAGCAAACTGCAAGTGACAATGCACTGCTGGATTATATATAGGACTTCTTGATATAAGAGGATTTCCTATAATTTCCACGCAAATAAGAACGCTGTCTGGTGCGTGTCAAAAATGTGGTAGACTCTTAGAACACAGGAATAGAAGTATAGAGGAGGAGTGATAAATGTACTTTGCTGTCATCACAATGTCTGATACGAAACTTAATGAATATTCTGTATATGGTAAAAACAGACCTCGTATCCTACTGTCTTCAGGTATAGACTTGTAGAGATAGTCCATGGCTCGCTTGGCTCGCTTCCACACTGCGCCGTTGCAGTTATTATTGTCCTTCAATCTGTCCAACTCGTTCACCACACGCCAAGGTACGAGCAGTGTCGGCTGCCCCGGAAATCCTGGAAATACCAAGGTCATTAGCCGGACGTCTACTGCTGAACAAACATCGACTCTGTTACTGAAGGCCGAATTAAAAAGCACGCATAGCAAGATATTTGACGATTTAAGAAAGAATTATTGAAAGATTTCTTTGGCACGGGAATCGAATTCGTGACACACGCTGCAATAGCCTCTCGCCTTGCCACTTTGTTTTATACCACGACGGTGGCAAAAAAGTAAAAGGCCCACCTGATGGTAAGCGAAAACACGGCCAGTTAAACATATCTGCTTATACCCATGGAATAGCCAGCAAAAGTCAAAACGACAGTCAGAGAGAACGAAAAACTAGATTTAAACTCACTGGTGAATCTTTATGTTGAAAGAAAAAAGAGATAGCCTACATCAGTACCACCTTCAGGACCGAGTGAATAGGTTGCTTATGGGACGACGTGCCATCGTAGACCGCATCATCGCTTACCACTAGGCGAGATAGTGGTCAAACGTTGGCCCATCAAATATGGAAAAATACTACCAATTTCTCTGTACAGATAGACATATCATAAAATCGCCCCGTCGTGATGTGAAAGCAAGACCAACCAAGACACTTTCGCGTTTATAATATTAACAAAGAATACAAGTCTACATGTCTAGAAGTCCTCACGATCAATAATGTAGGTGACCTAATTTAATTGCGAAGTTAAAATCACTTATTGAATAGCCTCCACAGGTGTATAATTATATCGATCGCTGCTATATCGAGACAAGTACCCACTTGTATCGTAGCGAAGTAGAATATTGATTGAAGTGATCTCTTTAAAATTTCCATGTTTTAAAACAAAGCCCTTTTTATATTTTGTTCGACAGTTAAAAGTTATTCTAAATCGACTTATTTGAGTCGCAAGTCGCAAGCGTCAACTGAAGGGTCTTAATTTCGAATCCCAAGTCGAAAAACACTAGTGGGTTGTCGGAAATTCTCAGTAAGAGCATGGGGACTGGATTTACGCGCAGTATGGCTAAAAGCTTGCCAACTACTACATGGGTCTCATAACATAATCACATGATGTGATTCCCTTTAATTGAAGGATCACAAGGTTACTGTAATTTCTGGTGGTTTATATTTTAGCATGTAATGTCGGAATACTGAAACGCTACTCAATTTTAAGTCGCGCTTAAGTATAGTTCTGCCTCTACAAATTCTTTGTAAAATGACAGAGATGGCACGTTTTTTTTTTTTTTTTTTTAAGGGGGGGGGGGGGAAATCATCGACTGACGAGCACGATATTTAAGCACGACTTAAAATTGAGTAACGTTTCAGTATTCCGACATAAGTGTATCTTTTGCAGGGAATCCAAATAAATATATAAATAAACATTATAATATATTGTGTTTAGTCAAGTGAACATACCTTTAATATTAGAATTGAGCACATTCTTGATAATAGACAACTCGTGTATAAAAATATTTGTATCCACAACTAATACAAGGTCGGTACTAATGTTATCCTTTGTACAATTCGCTAGAGGTGCTGCTACTTGCTTTATCTGGAACATCAAAAAAATATTCAATAGGCTCATCCCCTATTACATGGGACTCATAACATAAATAGTGAAAAGTGGATGTTACATTGTACAGTGGCATTAAATGCTGTAATGTAAACTTCTACCTACCCTTCGGGGGTAAAACGCGTGATGTTATGTGGTAAAAAATTATAAATATTTAAAAGTTTAGTAAAAAGAACTCCATGTGTATCTTAGTACAGAGTTTCAGTTAAAGGTAGTTTTAGACATCATACAAACAAGAATGTACAATTAACAAGAGATAAACTTTAAAAAAGAGATAAAATCAATATACAAATGTAACATGAACCAAACTGCCAACACAGTATGGAATAATATTGATGGCTTACAGATACTATTCACACACAACAGTGTTGCAAACAATTGTCTCTTTTGTTATGCAAATACATCTTTAGAAGACCCAAAGGTTAAAGTACTATTTTAAAAATATATTTCAATATGTTTTTAACAAAGGCAGATCAGTATCAACAAGAATACTGCACAGATAATAAATAAAACATTACTAGACATAGTTAAAAGACAACATACCTCTTTTAAATCCACATCCATTGCCTCATTCAACATACAATTTGTTTCTATGCTTACACTACTGCTTAATACTACTGGATCACTTTCAATTTCCATCAGGTCACTAGACAAACTGGCCCTTAATTTTTCCATTCTTTCACTAGCCGAGGCATATGTCTCTACAGTTTCTTGACAGCTCCCATCTTTACTCACTGCCACTTTAGTTAATTTAGATTTGATAGCAGACAGAAGCTTGCTCGCTTGTGAAAACTGGGGTGGGGTAGACGGGTGCTTCATATATGGATACTCCGAAGTCTGATTGCAAATACCTTGCTCAATGTCCGCAAATGTGTCTTTTGGCTTTGGATTATCACAGTATGCATCTTCAGGTAATTGTGCTTTCATTGAGCAGATTATTTTGTTAGCCGCAAAGAACTGAGAAGGGGAAGGTACAGACTGTAAGCTGTCACTGCTTGGAGACTGTGATGTCGTGCATTTGCCTTCTGCAACAGGACTTTTGTTTTCAACCTTGGGGGGTTTCGTTTCTGTGGCTGGTTTAGGGGTGATGGTAGATTTGGGGGTGGTGGCAGGTTTAGGGGTGGTAGCAGATTTGGGGGGTGTGCTAGTTGTGGGGCTGGATTTGACCACTTTGCTAGGGGACTGGTCTGTACTGTTGGTGATATCATCTTGAGCTTCCACAGATAACCTCGCCCTTAACTGTGATAGTCTTTGATTTGCTGCATTCTTTACTCGTTTCTGAGGGGTCTCTTTAGTACTAGGGCTAGGTTTGAGTGGTGATTGGCTGTTAACTCTCTGATTTGATGGTGTGACTGCAATTTCTGTGGGAATAATGTAATTTGTATTTCCTATCATTTTATATTTACACAACTGGCAAGAGACATATCAAATAGCATTATTGCTATATATATATTGACAGATATAGCAAAGGAAATTTAAAAAATTAAAATAATATTCATACATCTTTGAGAGTAAGTAGATTATTACAATAAAATTGCTAATGAGTTATAGCCCAGTATAATTAGATTAATTAAGTATGATAAAAAGATAACTAAAGGAAAACAAAGGTAGCCAGCTGTAGAAATAGTAAATTTCAATAATTAATATCCTCAACATGCAAAAAATACTTGTGTATATTGCATAATGATAAGTTAGCATAGTTTAATGTCACCAATAATTCAAACATTTTATACTTTTTAAATTAATATAATGTGTTAGCAACTATATTAAACAAAATACAAGAATATGGACCTAATGTGTATACACTTTATTACACAATCAATCATGTACTTATTGTGATGTAATGTCACATCAAAAATCTATTATATTGTTTGATTGTTGTTATATTCTAGAATGTAACTAACATGTTATTTAACATGTCAAATGGAGAATTTGAATATATTGCACTAGTCTATTAATTGAATTCACAGACAATTATATTATGTAAAGTTACAAATACAATTAATTGTTAGTAAATAAATAACAGTACCTATGTTACTTACCCTTTTTATGCTTTTTATTTGCCAATTCCTGACTTTCATTGCCATCGCTTTTCCTCTTTAAACTCTTCTGTGCTTCTTCCTTCTTAATCTTCTCTCTGTTTACTTTCTCTTTTTTGTTTTTCTGTTTCCTTTCAGACTTTTCGGTAGCCTTGAAATACGCAAAGCAATCCGTTAATATAATCAGGAATATTTACTCTAAATCATTAACAAACGCATCATACAATAAACCCTACGCATTCTACAAACCAGTTTTAGTAAAAACCTAAGAATGTTGGATAAAGTACGAAATTCACCTGTGGTTGGGTCCATGACGATTTACCAGTCCTCTTATTAAAATAATACTTTCTACCAGGATTTGATTTCGATGTGCAAAGCACCCAGCCGTCAGATAACTTGACGACTCCTTTTTTGTCGGAATTCATCACGAAGAACTGAATAAATAATAAATATCATTTAACACATCACAAAACGAAAATATACCTAGATATTTATTTGACAAATCAATCTGAGTCTACTCTATGGTACAACTTGAAAACCAAACCTACTTTGTTTTAAATTTATTTTGTATCGTACGCCTAGGACAGAAGGTCCATTTTCTATTTTGTATAGAATTTATACCACAGACAGAAGTTTTAACTTTTTTACAAAAAAAGCTTGATAACTTTCTTTTGATTCCATGGTTCTTAAAAAATCCTATGTCGTTTTAATTGTTTTTATTTATTGCGGGTAGGACAACTTTTGCGCACCTTATATTTTTTCCTAAATTACACAATTCTAGACTACTTGACTCGTGCGTTAAGTGTGCTTGTGCGACAACAGTGCGAAATCTCTTAATACTCCTATACATAACATGTACACAATAAACTTCAACTGACTTCAAAGTATATAATACAGTGTGGTATAGTTTACAAAAGCCACAAACATACTAAGGCAATGCAAAGGCTACAGGTCATGATATGCCAGCAGGCGACAGGCCACACAATTCAAGATTTAATTTTAATCATAGAGTTTGACTATTTTGATAGATTGTCAGTTCTGTAAAATTGTCAGTCGATATGACATTGTCATTCAAACTTGTTACTGGAACAGCTGACTAACCTTAATTTTTAAAGCTCGATGTAAATGGATTTTAAATAAAAATGCTGCTGCGTAAACTTAATAAATTACAAAAAACCATCCGATATAATTGGAAAAAATCCGTCTTGGGAGCCGTAGCATTATACTATGGAGCTACGGTAGTAAAAGAAAAATATGAGTAAGTTTAGATCAAGGATCCCGAAACACAATTGTTTTAATTTTTCCTTTATTTATTTAATGCATGCAATATTTGAAGTTATAAGTAGCAAGTAACAATATTAGAAGTTATAATAACATTTAAAGAATTTTAAATAGGATTTCATAATGGCTTACAGAATTAACTTACTGATGCGAGCAGCTTGTGAAGAGGCTGCAAAGTATGGAGACAGAATGATTGCTATAGATGACAATCCGATGCTCGTCACTGTCGTTCTGAACCCTGTTGCTAACAAGCGGAGAGCCAAGCAAGACTTTGAGAAGTATTGCGAGCCACTCCTGCACTTGGCAGGGATGCAGGTGGATGTTGTACAGACTTCCAGTGAGGGGAACGCGAAGGAGCTGGTCGAAACACTGAAGGGAACCCAGGCTATTGTGATTGCAGGAGGAGACGGAACATTGTCTGAATGCATTACAGGTAAATATTGACTTCAAAAATACTGATGTAATATTTCATGATAGTATATCTAAAAGTAACTCTTGCTGCATGCTAACTGTATTTATTAAAAATTGTCATCAGTTTAATCTGTCAAATACCAAGCGGTCACCGGTGACCGCGACCTATTGTTCTTTAATTGTGTCTATAAAACCGGTACTCGACGAGTTAAGGTAAATCTTACTTTTTTACCCAACATGAAAGAACTGTCAAATGGAATTGCTAATAAAAAAAAATTAAGTTTGTTATTCACCTCTGGTTACAATGACGTAACAAAAAATATTTTATTATTCTAGGACTTCTGCGCAGACATGATGATGCAAACCGCTTCCCTATTGGTATTCTTCCACTTGGAAGAACAAATACGATTGGCAACACCCTCTTTTCGAAAGGGGAAGGTGTTCTTCGGGTGAAACAACTCATTGAAGCTTCCATGGCTATAATAAAGGGTAACACTATGTGGAAAGATGCCATGAAAATAGAACCCATTGAAGAGGAAGATGCAGTATTTGGGAAGCCAATATTTGCATTGTGCTCGCTTGAGTGGGGAGCTTTCAGAGATGTTTTGTCTAAGCAACACAAGTACTGGCTGTATGGGTCACTAAGGGAATATGCTTCATATATCTTCAATGGATACAGACAATCCCTCAACTGGCATTGCAAAGGTGTAATAAAATACAGTCCGCCCTGCGACGGATGCAGCAATTGTGTCATGAAGCGGCCCCAAGTCAAAAGGAAATGGGCTTTCTTCTTGCCCTCTACCACTTTAGCTGAAGACAATAGTCCTGCGAATTTAGTCAACAATAAATGTGACTCTACTGAAGAAATTTGCTTCCAGACAAGTGATTTCAGGATTGTGACTCCCAACTTACAGAATACACAATCAACACCAGCTCTAAGTGTCGGTATTGGGAAATATAACTATAAATATATGGAGTTTGTGTCCGAGGGATGGGACCGAGTTCGGGACAAGAGTATAAAGAATGCTATCCTTGCTCGAAGTGTGATGCTGTATCCCAAAGAACACTTTGGCGCCACAACTATTGACATTGACAGAGAAGAGTATGAGGCCAAGCCTATAAAAATCACACTATTGCCTAAAGTTGTAAAATTATTCTGTAATAGCTATGAGAAGTAAATATGTACTTGTTGGTAAAGTGTTAAAAAGCTCTGATTGAGTTTGTTATTTCTTGTTTTCTATGTTCATGATGGTCCTAAGAAGCATAGACATCATTTCAAAGGTGATGACAAATTCCAACTACACTAAACTCTATTTACCGGGATAAAAAGATACTGGTACAAAACAGATCAAGGAAATAAAGTACAAAAACTTGCATTATACTGTTATAAAATGTAATAAAAAATATGTAAAATTTTATGTAACATTATTTTTAATTTTTTTTTTTTTTGAAGTATGGATCTGTGGTTGTGCTGCAAAAACGCACATTACAATGACGATCCACAATTTAACATTTAAATAAAATTCGAATTATAAAACAAAACTGGTGATTGTAGCTTTTAGCCTTAACTCGTCGAGTACCGTATTTATAGACACAATTAAAGAACAATAGGTCGCGGTCACCGGTGACCGCTTGGTGTTTGACAGTTTAACCTGCAGGCTTAGACAAATGGCATAAAAGTGGTATAAAAACTCAATGCACGGAATTAAAGTACATAATTATGATAAGGTTTCCACATTAGCCTCGTACAACGAAACTCAATTATTGTATTCGAAGCTGGATATGTAATTGACGCTATTTATCTATGCCTGCAGAGGGGATAAAAGGTAGTTTTGTTACAAAACATTCTGTCTAGCATACTCCCAAACAAATATGGCCGCCGTAACGTGCACATTTAGTGATCTGACGTAGCCTTGTTGAGGGATTTCAACGCAATGGTCCATTAGGGGCAACAAGTCGCATGGCACGCCCTCTTTCTCGTGGCTAAAATAAAAATATACTTTGTTATGTTCTGGCAAAGGGTTTATTTTCATCTGACGCAATATTATGATGATGTTACTCGAATTTCTGTGTTTATAACTTAACTGTGTGTAATAAAGTCGAAAATCGATTCAAAAAAATGTTAAAGATGCTAGTGATGTATAATGTGAATTGTTTCGTGATTAAATGAATATTTATATAAATCTCGGAAGTTTATTTTTTCACACACTCCTAACATACAATTCGATATAAAGGCGCTCCCTCACCGGGTGCATTCACGTGTAATGTAACATATTAATTCGACTTTGAGCCTTTCATAGCAAGATGTCAGACGAAGCCGGCGGGCGGGGTGCTGGGGGAAGTGGAGCGCATTGATGTTACAAGTTGTATCAAGATATATTACTACACATTATATCATTACGAGGTGCGCATTGTAATGCTCGGTTCTCCTCCTCCACTAATGTAATGCTCAGATCTGTAACGTTACATTACACGCGAATGCTCCCGGTGAGAGATCACCTATACTCGTACAAGTCACTTCAAGGAAAACACTGATGACGAAAAGATATAATTAAGATGCATTGCGGTACTCTATGTTGCCATTAACACAATTCTTACCCAAGCAACAACAATGTCTTCTTAGGAAACTTGAAGGTTTGAAGCTTGGTACTGCTAGAGGTCTGTTCCGCTGCCACCACGGCATACCCCTCCTCTTTCTTCTTCAACAAGTACTCCTTGAGAGGTCGGCCAGGACGGACCTCTTCTACGTTGATCCATCTTTCTGCTGATACGCTAACAAGAAGACATAACATTGGGCATTTTACACGAGAAAATGGTAAATGAGCACTGCTAATTTTGGGTATCTACTGATTTTATGGAATAGGGGCAAACAGATCTAACAGTAGGTAATGCCTCGTTCGCACTATGCTAGTATTTTAGTCAAGTGGAGAGTATTTAATAACTCTCTCTCGCTTCGATTTTGGGACAGAAGCGAGAGGGATATAATAAACACTCGCTGCTCGACTATAATACTAGCATAGTGCGAACAAGGCAAGCTACACGCGGCGCTTATTGACACCCACAACAGCAATGGAGTTCCTAATGCGCTGCCGACCCTTCAAAAAAAGAGTACAGTCTTTTCTTGAAGGTCGTGTCGGTTCGGAAATACAGCTAGTGCACTAACCACGCAAGAATTCAGATCATATTATCACTATTTGACTATAAGAATATAAATAACTATCGTGACACATACTAAATTAACTAAAAATCGCGGGATACTCATGTGAATATGAGAATGAGACAAGCTCTACTATTTTCGAACCACAGAGGGCGCGGTGGCAGGGATGTCGCGCAGCCTACCGCACGCTGCTCATGAGGAAGAACCTCTCTGTGGTTCAAAACTAATAGAGCTTTTCTCTCAGTATATTCACGTGAGTAACCCGCGATTTTTAGATCATTTATAAGAATATACCTGAGAAAGAAAGAATATACATAAGAATTCCATATACCTGAGCCCCTGGAACTGCCTGTCCTGTAGGTGCCTCAAACTGTCCACGACATAAGTCTGAACGCCAAACACTTCGCTGGTGCGCGCCATTCCACCCAAGTTGGGTAACTTGTCTATCAATGATGCCACCACAATTAATTGACTTGGACTTTCCCTCTAGAATTGAAAGAACTCTTTAGTCAGCATTTATATTATGTACACAAAGCACCGCTAATTAGTTGCAGCGCTACACATCGACACAACTGTCATTTACACAGTGTACATGTGTGCGTAATTTCATATAACTGTATATAAAAATATTCGTCCACCACGTTCACATTGGTATTTTCATTCTTGTGTCGGTATACGTATTTTTATAATTTAATGCATAGGTAAGGTTAAAACTATTTACAATCATTGATATGACCCGACATTTTCACTGTCATTATCGTAGTGCTCGTGGTCGATTGGTTAATGAGCACGCTTTTATCGTCTTTCAAGGATCAATGATGTGGGTTCTATTCCAGCTAAAAGTTAATTTTATTTTACCTTGTTATTTTTCTTATTTTTTTTTTTTTGTTTTTTGTCATAAAATATAAATATCAGGCTATAAAAGAAGCAAATGAGTTGGTAAATAAAACAATACTATTTTTTATTACAATTAATTTATTTATTATACAAATATGTTGTTTTATATTCAATATTTATATCTAATAATTAATTATATACCACATGTTAAGTTTAAAGTTCTTTAAATCATAATTAATAGATATGACAATAAACCTCATAGTCGAATCGGAAATATCATGCGGTACAGCGGTAATACGATGGCAGCAACATTTTTTATTAAGTAATAAACAAATATACAACATTCTTGTTTTGTAATTTAATAATATAATGTATTATTAAATTACAGTTTTACAGTAATAAACAAGTAAAACATGTAAAAAATTACACTGTCAACATATATTTCTTGAAATGGGCGACTTTTGTCGTTTGAACTTCCATTAATTATCTATTTTACGACGGTTGTTATAAGGTTCAATATTCAGTGGGCTGTATGATAGTAAAAAGAATGTGACGAATGCTATGGAACGATTTTAACTTTCATGACCTTTAGAATCAGGGAAACTTAAAATTAATTGAAGATGGGCGTAAATATAATATGTCAATCAAGTTCGAAAGCAGTTAAATAAATTTGTTAATGAAAAATTAAGTGAAGTGAATAAACATGTTGAATAGAAAGAAATTATGACAATTTCTAACCACAAACAATAACATCACTTCACCGTATGTTCTAGACAGCATTTTAATATTCTTAAAAAAATTAAACATTATTTTATGTTAATTTTAATAAAGGCAGAGCTTGACAGGCTCAATAATTGATTCCGAAATCAATACAATCACTGATCCTACAAGGCAGAAGGTTGCAATTCGTATACCTTTCTCCATCTTTTCTTCACAATATTTTACGCCCATCCTTATCCGACTTGAAAGTCTTTTCGTCGCTCAATATGATTACACTGTTCGCCCAATCAAAATTAATAAAGTCCCTAGCAAATTCTTAGCGCTTTTGCTGGTGAACCACAGATAACAATATTTTCTTCTCTGGCTTCCTGCTTCTTAAACCAGAATGCAGGTGTCTCCGTACAGTTTGTATTAAAACATTCAGTGCTGTCGCTGTAGTGCGGGTTGGCAGGAACGGATCAGCCATGTGCCTGGCTACGATGTCGTAGTGCCGAGCCGATGAATTTGCCTTTGGTTTAGGCCCACGTCGACGATGTTTAACGTCACCGGTCTCCGCATATCTGTGCACCCATAACTGCACGGATCTCCTCTGTTGATACCAAACAAATAAGTATTTAAAATACCAGGAAATACTTTACAGGAATTAAAGTTACTTAAAAATAATAATAAATATAAGTAAACACAATGTTAGAATAATAATTTATAATTAAGTAGTGGCGTAAGGAATAAAATCCCTAACCAGATATGTTTTAAAGAAACACTCCTAACAAAAACAAGTCAAGTTACAATACAATTAATAATAAATTATTAATATATCTTTATAATATTGAACTTCATAATAAGTTGCAATAATTATTTTATTCTAGTGCAAAAATTGATAGGTGTGTCGAGTTACAAAATGAAATAAATATTATTTAGAATATCAACGTAGTATCTTATTTACTCACCGATATCATTAAACGCCTTGCTATTTCAGTTATTGTTAGTTATGTTTTGCTCATGCAAAACAATGGTTTCAGCCTTTTTAAATGTTGATAGGTGTTGGAACATCTTGTAAAAATAAAAATAACTTTGCACACGAATATAAGTAGTGTAGCAATAAACTATGAAATCCTCATAAATTGACAACTAAGAACGCAATTATTTTGTAAGTCGGGTGATTTGAAAAAACATGTTTTAAATAGTCGGTAGTTACTTCATAAGCGTGTAAAATAAAATGACTCGAGATTTCTATGGTCGCCACAAACATTGCAAATATACTCAGGTATCGAACCATTAAGAAATCACAGTTAATTACTTTTTTACTGTTTTTATCTTATTTAAGTTGGTTGAAATGCATGAAGCAAATGAGATTATTCTAAATAATAAATAACTAGAACTAAAATATAAATAAAAGATATTATAGGTATAAATAAATCTAAAGTATTTACTATTAAAATTAACATAAGATTTAGAACAATAGGAAAGGAAAAAAAAAGAAAAGATTTAATTGTTTCTATTTTCAAATTTCAAATATTTGATAAATTAATTCTAAAACAACATGTGAATGTTGGAATCGATCCGGCGGCACTTTACTTGACAATTGGAGGCGATAACCATTGCGCCAAGCGCGCTGTAGATGAGATCATCGAAATATTTTATATCATTCAGTAACATAAAATTACAATGAGAAAGCACTATATTTATATGGGTATTGTATAGCTCGATCGTTCATTATTTTTGATTTCGATTTATTCAAAGTTTGTTATGAGTAATTTTATCTTTACCCTCGTTTTTATTTAAACTTATTTACTAAATTATTGCGTATACCGACACAAAAATGATTTTTAAATACCAAGATGTGTGTGATAGACGAATGTTTCTATACATATCTATTGATATGAAATTACCCACACATGTATATTGTGTAAATGATAGTTGTGTCGATGTGTAGCGCCGCTAACTAATTAGCGGTGCTTTGTTAATGTACCTAACTCGAAAATGATGGCAAAAATAAAAGAAAAAATTAGGCATAAAATTATAACGTGCTTAGCATCTTTTTTTAGACACATTTCGGATCACTAAAATAGATACAAAAATCCACAGGGAAAGCTAAAAAAATACATATATTCAAAAACCATCATACCTTCTTCCCCGTATCATAAACATTGACATCACTCATGTTCCTCCAAGGAATATACTTCTTCTGTATAGTCCCCATCGCTTCTACATCTTCAGAACTCCTCTCATCAAAACCTTTACTTGGTTGCAATACTGCAAACTGATCATTAGCCTTCCGACAACATTTCCACTCATTGATAAACTCCCCAGTACCATCTCTAGCCACCTTCTCATCAATATCTTTGATGATATGATTAACAAACTGCATGTTTATCTTCTCATTGCTATCAATCTCACATAATTTTGGCAACACATAATATATGAAGTATGGTGTAAGGTTCCCAACGATATCAAAATCGTTAGTAAAATAATCGCTTCTAAGTTTTATGTAGTTTTTATCCGTATTACATTCTGAGAAGGTTCTTTCTATGATATTTATAATGTATTCGTATTTTGTAGTTCTGTTCGCTAGTTTATATAGGATGGTGGCTAAGTATTGTGCGTTTAATCTAACATTAAATAGTTGACCCATTGTATGAGAGAGTAAGAAGTCCAAAACAAAGTTGTACTCAAGTTCTGTGTATGTATTGTTAGATATTTTATGCTTTAGCAACCAATATACTATAAAGAACTGTGAGGTCAGTGGTATATTCCTTGACTTCATAATCTGAAGCATTTCTTCGCCGATGGTGATTTTCTAGAAATAAGAACAGTTTTGTTAGAGTACCGTCATTATAGATGCAATTAACTCGTCGAGTACCGTATTTATAGACACAATTAAAGAACAATAGGTTGCGGTCGGTGTATGACAGTTTAATACTCTGTTTTCAAAGAAACTGAAGTGGCAAGTAGTCATCCTTACTATTCCTTACTAATATTATAAATCTAAAAGTGAGTTTGTTTGTTTGTCTGTTTGTTCCACCTTCACGCCGTAACTACTCAACCGATTGCTTTGAATTTTTGCAGACGTAAAGTTAGAAGTCCGGATTAAATAATAGGGTACTTTTTAACCCGGAAAACATTGATATTCCCGAGGAAAAACAAAAGTATTGGTATAGATGGCGCTGTATGTATTGGAATATGTCACATAGGCTACTTTTTATTCTTTTGTGACGCGAGCGAAGCCGCGGGTAAAAGCTAGTATCATATAACCATGAATTAATAGATCCAACTAATATCACCAATGCGAATGTTTGTTACCCATTCACGTAGAAATAGCTGAAGGGATCGGGATGAAATTTGGAACAGGGGTAGATTATGGTATGGAAAAACAGATAGGCTACTTCTTATCCCAAGGGATTGCAGGCGAAGCCGATGGCAGAAACTATTATAATAAATAAGTTAACATAATATCACGCCTTTTTATCCCCGAAGAAGTAGGCAGAGGTGCACATTACGGCACTTAATGCCACTCACTTTTCACTATTTATGTTATGAGTCCCATGTAATAGGGGGTGAGCCTATTGCCACATACCGGGCACCATTCCAGACTCCGTGCTACTACTGAGAACATTTAAAAACCCAGTAATACTTTGCCCGACCCGGTAATCGAACCCGAGACCCCTTGCCCGGCAGTCGCACTTGCGACTACTCGGCCAACGAGGCAGTCAATAACGTAATAATATTTAATTTATCTTTAGACTCACCTCAACATAAAAATACAGCGAAATGAACCATTCAAAGCAAATCCTGACACTTGGCTGATGAGGCAGCTTCACAAACATATTCAAACACCAATTATGCTCCCTGCAGAAACTCTTCAAATCCCCATTCTTCAACACCAACAACAAAATATGTTGTAGGGTAGTTTGCAAAACTCTGTGCAACTGTGAGTTGCCATGGTAACGCTGTTTATTCTTGAATAAGCTGTCGATGCGGATGGTCGTGAGATTGGTGATGATTCCGAGAGTTTCTGCGTCATTGATGTTGCATAATGACGCTATTGCTAGATACTGGATTTCGTAGTTGAAATGGACATCAATACTGTAAGAATTGATATAAAATGCGATCAATAATTAAAGTCTATAATTTAGAGGAATTAAAATAATATTAAAAATTTGTCTACAGTACAAACATTTTATAAAAATAAAGATTCCTCACCTTTCTTTATTTACACGATATCTGGGGTCTTGTAGAACTTCTAGTGTTACATTATCTGAAATCCTGAAATAAAACACAGATTAAGTTTTTAAGAAAAGCTGAGATTTATCATAAGCTACTGTCATGTCACTCATGTCTCTGTGACGCGCCGGACTTCAATGTTCTGGTGTTTCATGGTTGTATCTACTGTAGATCCCGGCTTAAAGGAGTTGCAGCGGTTTTGGGAGGTTGTGGCGGGCTTGTCCCATTAAAAAAAGCTACTGTCATTTCATGTAACCTTTAGTACATTAGGTTGGGTTGTACAGCTTGTTCACCTAACTATACGCCGAGCCTAACCGACTAGTTTAAGGTCTCGCCAGGAGCCCAAAGTCATGAGCAACACGTATGACAAACGACGCAGACAGCGGCGCGCATCAAACTCTCTAGTGTCTACTACTGAAGAAACCTCATTAACAATTATGGGAGTATTGCCGGAATACTGAAACGTTACTCAATTTTAAGTCGTGCTTAAACATCGTGCCATCTCTGTCATTTTACAAAGAATTTGTGGAGACAGAACTATACTTAAGCGCGACTTAAAATTGAGTAGCCTTTGAGTATTCCGACATTTGTCGTGCAAACTAATGTATTATATCTTAAGATAGCTATAATACAAAAACGTTTAGGATATTTACCTCTGATCTTTCCTGGGCACAGGACAGTAGAGCAATATGTCACATAAAACATAAATGAGATGCCCATACTCCTTCATATTTTTCCCATTCAATTTCCTAATCAAGTAGAACAGTGGATTCGTTTTTATAGGTCCATATTCTATAATCTTATTGCAGTATGTAGTTACTATAACATTGTTATATATTGGACTTTTTAAGATACAATCTTGAGTTATTAGTTGAACAAACTCTTCAATGCATGGTGAATATTGGCTGTTGGACTTCAGCTCCTCAATTTCTGCCCAAACTCTGTTCACAAACTGAATTAAGTTGAAGTTGATGTCACCATTAGTAAGTTTGTTAATAATTTTGTTGACTGTCTTCAGGATCCATTTTAAACACCCATACCCTCCACATTCTAGCACATTTTCCATGTATATAATCACATCATTCAGGCAGCTATCAACATCTTTCTCTTCTTTAATCAAAAAGCATATTATTGCACAAGACTTCTCATAAAACACATTTTTCAATCTGCCCATACTTTCGTGTTGGGCACCTTTGAATTCTTCAGTTGAAACTATTTGAATAAAACTATTTACATTAAGCATTTCATGCTTATAACTGGTTAGCATTACAGGACTACTGTGTAGCATTTTTATAATAAATAAACTAATGACTGCTTTATCTATGTCTGGGTTGGACTTCAGGAATAAAACAGCTGTTTTATAGAGCTGCAGTAATTCAGCACCGAGCTCTTGTTCATTAAAAATAAATTCATGATATTTACATAATTTTGATATATCCTCCATTCCTAAGACCACATCATTTGAAAACAGACTTAGTAGATATAGCAATAATGTCTTATTTTGCCGTGTGATGGCCTCGTTAATGTTGTTTAGTGGGGAATCTTTAGTTTTGCTTGACAAATCCAGTAAGAATAAAACATCGTTGAGATATTTCTTTTTGTCTGCATACTGCCTGTTGAGGCCTTCTTGTATTTTCTTTATTTTATCTTCAATTATTTCAATAACAATGTTTGTATCTTCTTCATGAGCCAACAAGTGTAGTAAAACAAGGTCTACATTTGCATAACTGTCTGACATTATTTTTAAATTCATTACTTTATCTTCTTTCGTTATAGGAACTTGTTTTACAATTTCAATGAAGGGGTTTTCTTGGAAAGGAATTTTTAAATTAATATTAGGGTAAATATTCAAAATTTCTTTCCAATTTAAGTGACTTAGGCAATGTTTTATGAAAAATATTATGTTAAACTGTACTGCCCTTCGCAATACAACATTATTACAAGGTACCCTCAAAATATCAGCGGTGATTTTTGTTAAATCTTTATCATTTGCTACGAATGAAGCATCCATTTTTAAATTAGCTAAAACATCAGTGAAGTGGTACAGTGGTATAGGTGCCCATTTTACTTGAGAAATAGATTTAAATATAAACGATTGCTAGTAATAATTCCAGTATTTGAGCCTTAAGGCCTTGATATATTGCATTGTTATCAAATAAATTAATATCATTAATGGCTTCAAGCAATATTTGAGCTTCTGTTTCATTTCTGATTTTAGTTTTCAGTTTGTACTCCATACATTTCAATCTGACCTGTGTATTTTCATGTTTAAGGCCCATGTTAAACGCCGAGTTCAACCACCAGACACCAACATTGACGGATTCAAATAGCTTTAATGATGGCAACACTATGTTTCCCTGTTTTTCTTCTAAACTGTCTATTAAGATGAAGAAATTATGCCACATAGTTTTCAGAGCTTTAGTATTACCATTATTCCATTGAAATATGATTTCATTTAAATATATAACTTTGACATCCTTTTTGGTGGCGATTATAGAGTCTATGGCCTTTTTAGTGAGGTACACAGATATTTTCCTGATAGATGCATTGTCAGACATCATGCCAAATAATACAATTTCCCAAAAGTTATATTGGTGGACAATTTCAGATACAAATTGGCTATCTCCTTTTGCATCAGGAGTGGGTAGGTAGTAATCAGAGAGGCAGCTCAGTACCTTTAATGCATTCTCCTTATTGTCCCCTTTGAATGACTGTATGTGGTCCCATATCCTATCTAGTATATCATAGCCAACTACCCCAAAAAGTAATGCTGGTACCATATCTGTTAAGAAATATACTTTCAGAACTTCATCTGATGAATCCAAGATCTTTTCTAGAGGTGTCTCTAAGAACAGTAAAGAGACTTTTTCTCCAAACTGAATGGTCGCATTCAGGATACTATCAGCTACTTTTAAACAAAGTAATTTGTCCATATTTACATTGCTAGTCAAAGAGGTAGATGGTGCTTCAAAGCTGCTTTGGAAGTCAATGTTCGATAATAGTTGCTGCAGTAAGTGTTCTGCTTTACTAACAACATCGCTCGGTTTCAAACACAGTACCATGTTGATAATTTCACAAACATAACTGACATTGTCACTTGTTAGATTCTTCAATAATTTAACAATGAAATCAAACTCTTCGCTATTCTCACATTCTATGCCTTCTTGGACGTTAATAAGCAGTTTATACTTCAGTAATTGAATAATATTTCGTAGATGTTTATTAGAATGGTTACTTTTTCCCATTAGATTTTTTAAAGGGATATCGATAACTTCCTCATTCAAATCTAGTATATCTAGGAAATGCAGTAATTCTCCTTGATTATCCATTGTTTAAAAAGGCAAATTGCTATTTTCTTTAGAACACTAACTCGAAACTGATTTCGAATAGTTAGAGATAGATTTGAAAGATGTGGTATTGAATTGATGTTGACATTGACAATTAAGCCAATGAGTAAATGTGCATTTTGAGCATAGTTTTATATCTATTTCACTTGCACTCGTTTATTCGTCAATATGTGTATACTTTTTCAATGTGCAAAAATGAAATGCAATAATGTGCCAAGTGCCAATCTCACGTTTTGATCGCTCTTAGGTGACACTTGACAGTGACATATTACAGATGATATACGACACCGAGAAGCATAAACAATTGACATTGCCATTCTTCAAAAACGTTTTTGTATATAAACCTGGGCCAACACCAGCATACACCACATTCCATCACCCATAAGACGAAGTGGAGTGAATGAAACACCAATGTTCTGACAACTTAGGCCTTAGTATGAGTTTATTTTACCTTTGAACTTGTCATAAATGAACCAACCAACCAGAGCGTACTTTTAATGTAAAACAAACTCCTACTGAAACCCCTGACTAGTTTATAGAGATCTGTGTATAGGCTAAGGCCCATTTGTTTATATCCAACTATGATTGGGCCCAAACAAAGAAATGGAGCAGAGTATGGCCTAAAACTGTGACCAGTCGTCCCAGCTGCTAAGAAACGGGCAGCAGCACTGTTCCAATATATTATAATGTTTTACTTCATAATAATAATAATAAGCCTTATTTATTCCATATTTCTTACAGTGTTGCAATTACAATATATTGTGTGTTTTAGTATACATGCATATTTATTTTATAAATTTATAATTGATGTTAGTGTGTTAGTACTATGAAATATGGATCCCTGATTGGGTAAAGGTCTCCTCCATCCTCTTCCACGACTCCCTGTCCTTGGCTAACTTTGTCCACTCGTTTCCTGTTAGAAGTGTGTTATCTCATCAATCCACCGTTTCATTGGTCTACCAACATTCCTTTTCCCCTTTGGTCCTTTCCATCGTGTGGTTTCGATGTTTTACTTACTATAACTAAATAAGGTAAGTACCTAAGCATTTCTTGCAAAATGGAAAAAGACAATGTCCAAAAATGTATGGAGCAAAAACCCAGAACCAACTAAAATAATTTATATGTGGCAAGGTAGACTACCTATACATAGTATATCCCAAATTCAATAAATTATTTTCGATGAAACCATCACCATGTAATAATGAATTGGCCAGATTATCATGGCCTCGCTTTATATGGTCTTTCCGCAGATTTAACAGTCAGTTTACATTGGTTTTTTGAACAAAATCACATCGTGGTATGATAATCGTGGAAAATCTTATAAGTTTGCTTATAATTCTGGTAAATACAATTACCGTCTGTAATCTTCATCGCTTTTAGTAGTCCAGGAACTAACATAGAACAAAAAGTAATTCACGCGCTCATACGAAATTGTGATAAACTGCAGGCTCTTGGCCGGTTTAGTTATGGTTTTGTCCAAAACTGATAGTGTATTTGTGACCTCCATAGATATAATATATGTTAAAACGTGGTTAAAACTTTGTGTTCAAACTCGAAAGGTTTCTACGAGGTTACTTAGCAAACTGGTTATGTTTGTGTCCTATTATATTAGTAGTGACCTTGTGGTCTATTGTACTGTGCATGAAAGATTTTAATCGACACTGGGCACTGGAATTTTTTGAACCTTGGATATTCTATTCATATTTTGAAGTAAACCCTCGTCCCATAGACTCTCCAGGAGAGAGGAAAGAAAGTGGACAATTCATTTTAAATACGACAAAGAAAATGGTAAAAAGCGCCAAGGCGCAATTATTAAAGATTTTATTTTCTTGCAGTTCATTCTATATTTGGTTCTCCCAGTCTCACTCAAGTTTTCTGCTTTGGAAAATTGGAAATAAACATAACAAGAAACCTACAATATTCGTTTTTCTATAATGGTAACACCATTATTTTTGTCCTTGTTCTTGTTGCCAAAAACGCTCACTAAAATTTTGGAAAAATCCTCCATTGAATACTCACAATCAGCCCCAGTTTATTTTTGAAAATTGTTTCATTAATAAGCTGAAGTTCTGTTGCGTTGCTATATTGCTTTTCAACTTTGCTTTAAGTACATTGTAGATTATTGTTTTCATCGTAAGAAGCAGCAATGGAAGATAATTCCTCGAGCGATGACGAAATTCCTTCCTCATCTACTGGACCCAAGTCTGGAGGAAAAAAAATAAAACTTAACGATGGAAGTTCGCAAGATAGTGTCAAGGAAACTGGTAAACATTCTTTCATTTTAACTATTAAAAATTGTGACGTAAAAAGTTGGAGTCCATTTTGATGTTTTTTTTAGTTGTGTCGGAGAGTAAAGATGAGAATGTGGACAGTGGAGTGTCGGCGGATAAGTCCGAGAGCACTAGTAGCGACGACCGTGCTGAGCGTGCTGAGGGTGCTCCAGCACCGGTGCAGGGCCCATCGAACGAGGAGGTGATCGTAGCGCCTTCCAGCAGTAATGTCCGTGCGATCCTATTGAATATTAAACGCCCTAAGTGGAGTAGAAACTACAGGAAACGCAAGACGCCTGGCAGAGATTCAGACAGTGACTCTTCAAGGGATTCTGATGATTTATCTGTAGATGAGACTACCCCTTCAGGAGCTAATGATACTTCTAATACCAACACAAACTCTGAAACAGAGAGTGAACATGATATTAGGAGGTTGGCTGACTTCCTGACTCCTGAGTCTGATATGAGTTGTCACAGTAATAGTGCGTAAGTAATTTGCATCTATTTATAACAAATACCAACATGTCCAAATTAATACAAATCATATTTTTATATGAACTTAATTTGTTTAAAATTATTTCTGCCTTTTAACATGCGACCTGATTGATAACCTTGTGATTGGTAATGATAACCCCATCAGCAATAGTAATAAATATAAAATGTATTATAATATTACAAAAATAGATTATGGATCTACCTTAATTTTTTTTATGTTACCGCAGTGTCACATGCAAAAAATATAGATACTCAAAATGATAAAGTAAAATCGATAATTTTTTAGCTATTCAATAAATATTTATTTTTTATTCTTATATTATTATGATCAAGAAGGAGAGAGGTTTTTGCTTCCATTCTTTTTATCATAAACAATATCAAAAATATTGTGTAATATTTTTGTAACAGATGTAAAATGAAGTGTTTATTATCTTAATTTGCTATTAATTTGATATATGCTTCATCATCATGCTGATAAAGTGCACATGAAATAATCATGATATGACATGACAATAATTTTCTTAACTCATCAAGTACCGGTTTTATAGACACAATTAACTCGTCGAGTACCGGTTTTATAGACACAATTAAAGAACAATAGGTCGCGGTCACCGGTGACCGCTCGGTGTTTGACAGATTAAAGAACAATAGGTAGCGGTCACCGGTGACAGCTTGGTGTTTGACAGTTATACCATACTATGATTACCTAGTTCATTCATTCAGAAATCCAAACACAGGATTACATTTTTTAAGCCTTAAACTGCCGACAAAAACTGTTAAAGGCTGCTAGTGTCAGACATCATTGTCCGACATGGCATCCAATGTGTTATACTTTGATAACCTAGTGACATGTTACACAGTGTATTCAATAAAAGTCAATAGATTCTCAACTTACCCAAGTTGTTTGTTATTTAATTAAATTATTTGTCAACAGTTCATCAAGTTCTTCAGATACTCCTGGGAGCTTTGCTTCGGACAATATTTTGGGGATTCCATCCGGAGACTCTGACACTGATGATGAGGCTCCTGCAAATCGGACTTTGGAAAATGAGGCCACCGAAGACGCTGACGCCGCAATACCTCCTGTGTTACTCAAAGCCAGACCTAAACACAGCTATTTGCTACTCAGAGGTAATTTTTCTGTACTGTGCAATATCTTAATTTTCAAAAGATATTGCAGATTGTTAAGCAACTTACCACTTCGTTTTCATGCAATAAGAAGTGGTGGGGGGCACTTTATTGTATGGTAACAATTAGTACTACCCTTAACAAAATCTGAATTCATTGATCTTCTTTGGATTTCATCCTCTTCCTTTCTATTCACATTTATAGTCAGGCCTTACTTTCAGCACTTCATAACCATGAACTATTTTATTTTAACAGAAATAATGAACCGAGAGATGGGGCTGACATTTCCCTGCGGCAAGACCGCGCAAGACCACGCCGTGTTCGAGAGCAGGTTCTACGGATCCCTACACGCGGTATACAGACTGAAGAAGTTACACAACCTCAACAAACACAGGGGCTGTGTGAATTGCATTAATTTTCATCCTGAAGGTAAGACAGTTTATTTAAAAGATAGGAGGATAAGGAGATAATATCATGTTTGTTTGTATTGTGACTGATGTTCAGATGGTATGACTTTCGTGGTAGAGAGTGACCCCACTTGTCTGTTGCGCTGTGTCGCGGCGTCGCAATAGAACAACGCATCGACACACGACAATAATAGATGATAATCTGCTAGTAAAATGGAGTGAATAGGGATCGAGAAGTGAATAGGAACAGAAGAGGAGTAATAGATAATTATAAGGAAATTCTTCATAGTATCGATTCACTATGAAGTCTGTCCCTTTTCGCCGTTCAAACCCTATTCATCCCATTCTCCATCCCATACTCCGTGCTACTATTGAGAATTTCAAAAATTTTACGAAATCAATCTTTGTTCTATTCCACTCACTGCGATACTAATTATTTTCGAAAATCGAAATAATTCTCCGCGAACAAGGGTCGAAAATGAAGCACCTATTCTCACTTACTCACTTTTTGGACTCAGTACTGAGGTCTAACCAGATTTGACTGCATATTAGATTTTTTAAAGTTTCTAGCTTTACGTTACCTAAATTGTCAGATTTTGGGTACCAAAAGCAAAGTTGCCTACTTAAACTGCCAATTACCGCGAGGACACCGGTGACCGCAACCTATTGTTCTTTAATTGTGTCTATAATGACGGTACTCAAAGGGTTTAGAAACCTACAGCACTTCTTGCCTGTGAATTTATCCAGCGAATCGTCGGTACCGATCATGGAGCTCTGCACCAATTGTGTGGCGACAAATGTAACAAAGATTTTCCCATTTTCAGGTCAACTCCTAGCTTCAGGGTCAGATGATACGAACGTAGTGTTATGGGATTGGGCTCGTAACAAAGCCTTGTCTACAATCAAAACAGGCCACAAATCCAATGTGTTTCAAAGCAAGTTCCTATATCTTAATGGCAAGAGTCAAGTGAATATTGTCACATGTGCTAGGGATGGACAGGTGAGATATAAACATCATATTAATTAATTTCGTTAATAATCATTCGTTTTATTTATTTACGAGTTTATTTCTAAACATCACACTTGCATATTTTTATAATAACTATCGTGAGATATAGACTACTAAATTAATTAAAAATCGCGGGTTACTCACGGCAGTATCGCGCGACGTCGCCGCGACCGCGCACGCTGCTCATGAGGAAGAACCCCTCTGTGGTTCGAAACTAGTAGAGCTTTTCTCAGTATATTCTCGTGAGTAACCTGCGGTTTTTAGTTAATCACACTTGCTACTTGTGTGATATCGGAAATGGACTCCCGTTCCTGGGCGATGCGGGATCTCTGATTGCTTATTACCCTTTTAGCTAGATCAGTAAACATGTTACCTTTGGTTTGCACTTTTTATTTGCATAATCAGTAAATACAATATTATTACTGCCTCGTTGGGCGCCTGGTCGCAAGTGCGACTGCCGGGTCTCGGGTTCGATCCCCGGTTCAGGCAAAGTATTACTAAGTTTTTAAAAATTCTCAGTAGTAGCACGGAGCCTGGAACTGTACCCGGTATATGGCAATAGGCTCACCCCCTATTACATGGGACTCATAACATAAATAATGAAAAGTGGGTGTTACATTGTAAAGTGGTATTAAGTGCCGTAATGTGCACCTCTGCCTAGCCTTTCGAGGATAAAAGGCGTGATGTCATGTTATGTTCCAATATTATTAAAATCTATCTACTCTTGACAGGTTCGTCTCCTCCAATCCCACCCGAGCGGCGGTGCCAACGCAGCTCGTCGCAAGTTGTGCTCGCACTCCCGCGCGGCTCATAAATTGCACGTGTCTGCGTACGAGCCGCATATTGTTTTATCTGCGGGAGAGGACGGTCTTGTAATGCAGAGCGATGTCAGGGCTGAACATCCTTCCAGGTAAATATTAGTAAATGCTTGTAATAACTTCAATAGCGTGTTATAGGTTCTCAAATAAAGAGTATTTTTGCAAAAAAATGTTAATATAAATAATACTGATTTTGTTAGGTGAGTAGTCGCAAACGAGACTGCCGAACAAAGAGTCGAACCCGTTATCCCGCGTCGGCAATGTCTATTATTATGATCTTCGGTCTTCGAAATTTCTTACAAAGGTGAGCCCTTTGTTCGGCAGTCTCGTTTGCGACTATTTACCTAACAAATTATTCAGTGTTATATTATATTTACTTATACTATTATTATCAAAAATGATTGGTGCCCACTGAAAATCAGTGCTGAGGTCACCCAGCATACAAGTCATTGTATGCCTGGCTTATACTGAGTGGGTGACCCTTTTAGCATAGGCATGTTATCAGCGTCTCTTTTCTAATTCTTCTGTTTTAATTTTTCAACTCTTATATTTTTATTACTTCCACTGTCACACCTTGATTGTCTTTTTTATATTTTTTTTTATGCTGCATCGTGCCTGGTGCAAAATAAATGTTTTTTCTTTCTTTCTTAAAAAAACAAACTAATCAATACATATTTTCTTTGTAGACTATTACAACTGAAGGATCGTTCGGTGGTGATCCCGCTGTACAGTGTATGCGGGCACCCAATAGAGACCCAGTACTTTATAGTGGCCGGCAGGGACAAATATGTGAGACTCTACGACCGACGAAAGTGCACTAAACCAATCGGCTACTTCTGCCCAGCCTCATTCAGCGAGAACTCAGTAAGTTTCTAATATTTATATCAGTATATATGTAGTTAGTTTTATTTGCAGTTTTTTTACTATGGTAGTAGACATTCATATGTTGTTATAGTTAACTTACTTTAGGAATAGGACTATCTTGAGTCCTCTTAGGGGGGCTGTTATTTCTAAAGACATTGCTTTGAAATTTAGCGAAATCTGACTAAATGTTGCAAAGCCAGGAGAAATAATAATTAATATATCTTTATCCAGTTCGCACATGAAGTATAAGTTCTGTGCGATTATTTGTCTGGACTTTAAAAGAGAAGGCCTCCGGGTTTGTGTCGGCATTTCTTCTAAGAGTAGTCCGATAAATAATGCCGGCTTCTGACAATCTAGTAATTTGAAGATTGACATGTATAAGTGTTAGGTATAAGTCTGACTTTGTAACTATTTGCAGCAATAAATATAGTTTCATAATATCATTTCATTTCATTACGACGTTATGTGTTAATAGACGATTAGAATTGTTATAATGCATTACAAAAATACCGATCACTATTAAGATCTTTTAAAATAAATTGTAATGTTTTTATTTTTCTTTATAGCGTACGCCGGAAAACCAGCAGACGGATAACCTGGTGGTAAGCAATCAGCGTCGCCGATGGATACCCGCTACACTTGAGCAGATACAAGTGCGTTATTGGTCTTTAAGGGAATGGGAAATTGAGAATGGGGGAGGATTTAGGTCTTCATTGACCTCGCTCGTCGTCGTCGCTCGCTGCGTTGTTCCGTGAGGCCGTGGTATCACGCCAGTGGAACCGGGTCATAGACGAAAGCCGCTTTTTGTTCAAAGAAACAATGAGCATGGATAGCGTATTTGAGAATCCTACTATTATTATAAATGTGATAGTTTGTGAGGGTGCATGGCTGTATGTCTGTTTGTTACTCTTTTATTCATGCATAAATAACTAAAAACATTAATGGAATTTGGCACAAAGATAGATTAATTATTATGTTCAGGAATAGGACATAGGTTACGTTTTACCTTGGTGCCGCGGACAAAGTCGCAGGCAGAAGCTAGTGGCATGCATTGAACATAAATTATGACATTCAAGAAATTCGGTAAAACAGCAGGCTAATGAGCACAGGCTAAACTATTCCAGGGCACGGTGAGAAGAAAAGTTCGGTTGTCTATGATGCACCTCACCTGCGCAGTTTATAACCACAACGGAACTGAAATTGTCGGCTCCTATAACGATGAGGATATTTACCTGTTTGATGTTAAAAAGGATGTAATGGTTGATAAGTAAGTAGTTTTAAATTTGTTTGCATTTTCTTTCTATAGGTTTTAGTCACTTTATATATATTCTCTAATATGTGTAATATACTCTAATATGTGTATTATTTGATGTGTATCTATCATATGTATGTATAGTCGCGGAGAACCTAACGGGTAACCGGGGCTCCGGCTCGACGTGCAGGAGAAGGAACGGGGTGGTTTTTAGTCAGTAAGAGTCTGACACTCCCTCCCGCCTCACCCAGGCGGGAGCAGTAATTCGATGATTTTCCCCTCTTTTAAAAAAAAAAGAAAGTCACTTTGTATAATAACTATCGTGTGACATGCCAAAGTAATTGAAAATACCGGTTTAGGACCGTTTCTTAATCATCATTAACTGATGAATAAAATTATTATTTGACGGTATATAGTATAAAAAATTGTCAAATATTTAAAGTTACTCCTCAGATACAATTTATGTGGCGTTGGAAAAATTAGCCTTTATTCACGTAAAATAATGAGAAAAGCTCTACTAGTTTCGAGTTACAGAGGGACTCTTCTTCATGAGTAGCGTCCGCGCACGCTGCTCAGTATATTTTTGGAGGTCACATGAGGAATGTGAACGATATATTTAATGTTATCTGAATTTATATGGAATTTGAAACGAAACCATTTAATACACACAACACATGTACACCTGGAACATATTTTGTGGATCACACAAAGAATTTGGGTAGATGACTAATCTTAAATATTATTTTAATTTTCGTCTGGTACACTATTTTTAAACATTAGACAGGTATTTTTTATTTTCTTACGTAAACAAATAATAGTATTTTCTTTAAAAAAAGATGCCCCAACACTAGGATAAAAGTCAAACATAAAAAGTCCACATACACATAATGGTATTGATTTGAAATATCGCATGACTGACGTCACTTCTATGTACGTTTTATACGTAGAAATGACGTTTACACTCCCACTTCTTAACTTTGACAAAATAAAAAAATATGCGTCTAATATTTTTTCATGATCTAACTGACGGACTAACTAGATTTTTATACCCTGTCATCATCCCAATTGTTAAGTTTACCTCAGTTAAAATTTATCTGAGCATTGAAATATTGGCTCTACGAAAAACATTTTTGACTAAGATCTGATATCTTCGTAGTTTTTATATTTGTTTGTTACGACAGAGTTATAACCTCAGGTTTCCTCATGATGTTTGCCTTAACCGTTTGTCAGTGGTGTCTAGATAATCTTAGAAAGTACATATAACGCGGAAAAAGTCACATTAGTACTTGCCGTTGTTAGGTTTCGAAGCCGCACTGTCCTGTCATCTTCTCACTTCCCATCACTTCTAATATTAAGTTTTTTTTTCATCTTGATGTCTATTAACAATACAATAATGTGTTTTAGAACCAACACAAGTGAACGAGAGACTGTAGGCTACACACATCGGTTCAGTGGACATCGCAACAGTGCGACGTTCAAAGGCGTGGCGTTCTATGGACCGAGGAGCGAATACGTGGTCTCTGGGTCTGATTGCTCCTATATTTATATCTGGGACAAGAAGACGGAGTCTATTGTGCAGTGGTTAGTCGGAGATCTGAACGGAGTCGTGAGTATTTGTTGCAAGCTGTGTAATCAACTAATGAAGTGTTATTGTATGTATTTGTTAGATAAAGATTTAATGCAGATTATAATATGTATTGGGGAAAAAGAGAACAGTTAAACCAAAGTCCAATAAATAATTGCAACCTATACTAAGTTCTTACATTAGCACACATATTTATAACTGTCTCGTTGGCCGAGTGGTCGCAAGTGCGTCTGCCGGGCAAGGGGTCTGGGGTTCTATTCCCGAGTCGGGCAAAGTATTACTAGGTTTAAAAAAAAATCTCAGTATATAGTAATAGCACGGAATCTGGAATTGTGCCAGGTATATGGGATTAGGCTCACCCCCTATTACATTGGACTCATAACATGAATGGTGAAAGTGGTTGTTATATTGTACAGTGGTATAATGTGCACCTCTGTCTACTCCTTCGGGGAAAAAAGGCGTGATGTTATGTGTTATGTTACTTGTAGAGTCCCAAAAAGATTGCTGATTAAATAGGACTGATATAAAAAGGACATTGAAAAAAAGGCGGACGTAATGTCACTTAGAAATGATTGAAGCACCAAAATGTCAGTGGTGTATTTACGTGTGCCACGTACTTGCAACACCGTACTGGCGTAATGTATGAAGTGTAATGGCGGGCCATGTCACGCCACAGATGTCCTTTGTGTCAAAGTGTGTGTATTCTGGATGAAGTGTATAGTGGCCATCAGCTTTAGCTAAATGCCATTTAGCGCTTGTCTACGTGTAGAATAGACGTAAATTTTGACACTTGTCAGTGTCATCCCCATACATTTAGTTTTCTACTCTCTGTGTAGACAAGCACTAAAGCGGCGTTTGGCTAAAGGCACTGGTCAAACTCCGAAACTCCTTCTTTTTTTGAAATCGGGTAAACATTAACTTGTGTCAAATGTAAATAAGTGAAATACACACATGCCTGTATCACATATTAATGGTAATTGGTACATTTTGTAAAACGTCGTGATTATTCCATACAAGCATTTTGTATGAGTCAATTTTCAAGTTATTATATTATATTATAGGTTATTGTTGTGGGGTCGTTGACCGTCGTCTGTCTAGCCTATTCAGTGCTTGGGTATTTCAGTGCTCTTTGCCGCGAATCGAAAATCTATTAAATATTTCTCGTAATATATGATAGACCTAAAGAGGTTCATATTATAATATAAAGATATTTTTTTTGTTTGTGATAATACGAATAATTATTTTACTACTTATTTTACTACCTATCAGTTATACGACTACCTCGTTGGCCGAGTGGTTGCAATTGCGACTGCTGGGCAAAGGGTCTCGGGTTTGATTCCCGGGTTGGGCAAAGTATTATCGAGTTAAAAACAATCTCAATATCGGCAATAGGCTCACAATCTATTAAATAGGACTCATAACATAAATAGTGAAAAGTGGGTGTTACATTGTACAGTGGTATTAAGAAAGAAAGAAAGACTTTTTATAATAACATTACATTAAGTGCCGTAATATGCACCTCTGCCTACCCCTTTAGATATAAAAAGACGTGATGTGATGTTATGTTCAGTTATACGATAATTTCATTGAATATATATTCATAATACACGAGACGACATTATAAAGCCACAAATAATAAACTCTATTATTGAAATATATGTTTTTTCAATTTTTTATTATTGAAATATATGTTTTTTCAAATTTCAGGTCAATTGCATAGAATCCCACCCGAAATGTCCAGTGCTGGCGACTAGCGGGCTCGACAAAGATGTTAAGATTTGGATGCCTAAGAGTCAATACGATCCGACATATGATGGCATAGAAAAAGTAAGCAATTTTTTGGCTTTATATTTTACCTCGAGTCTGTCCGATAATCCAAATCTCTCACGAACTTCATCACCTCACCCGGTTCAGCCTTACCTAACCTGGGAAGGTTAGTAAGAACAAAACATTACATGCTGTAATACATAGTAACATAATGATCTCTCACTCATAGTACCTAATAATATGAAGGGTCCACTGCAATAATGATGAACGTCCAAACATAATATTACATTTTAAGTAAGTAAACACAGCACAAATATATATATTTCCTACGCTAAAAACAGGAAACTTGTACGGATTAAAAACGAGTACGTAATTAGAAGGTTTAATGATAGTAAGTTACCGCGTTTCAATATCATCTCGGTAACTAGGCAAAAACTATTTCTAGTACTGAGAGAAAGAGACACAAGACAGATACAGAGGCCTACGCGTTCGGCACTCTGATTGGTTGATTCATTGGCGCCGGCCAATCAGTGCGCCGAACGCGTTCTCGTTTCGAATACTTTAAACGTAAAACAAACTCGTACTAAGGCCTCAGAGAGCCAAGCACGAATAACTATTGCATTCGTACTGTAATAGTACAGTTCGGCACTGTGATTGGTTGGTTCATTTTAGCCGGCCAATCAGAGCGCCAAACGTGCTCGATATTTTTACGTTATGAAAGAAAGACAGAAAAATTTATTTGTCAGAATGTAGTTACAATAGGTGTTTTATGTCAATTAATGTCTCATACATTCTAGCGAATCGGTGTACAAATATTAGACTTTATTTTATAATTATAAATATTGTGTACAATTTTATAACAATGTTTCTTTTAATCCTTGTCGTTAAGAATTTCATTGTTTTTATAATAACTATCGTTAGACATACTAAATTAACTAAAAATCGCGGGTTACTCGCGTGAATATACTGAGAAAAGATCTCGTCGCGCGATCGCGGCGATGTACAGAATCCTCTGTGACTAGTAGAGCTTTTGTCAGTGTAATCACGTGAGTAACTCGCGATTTTTAATTAAGAAATTCTTTTGTTTAATAATAACACCTATTTAACAGATACTTCAATAATTTTGTTCGGAATGACGTTAAGATATTTTAGGTCATTTGGAAGCCTATTTACATTTTGATAGCTATACAGTATGCGATAGTTATCCATGCGTGGCGCTCAGTTATCTAATAAAAGTTTCGTTTCGGTGTCTCTTTTTAGTGTGATCAGATAGGAATTGCCGGATTAATTTAGTTTAGTTTTAAATCTGATAACAACTCTCGGAAAGTTGTTACTTTTATGTGTAAATTACTAGCTAATCGTTCGTGGATGTTATGGTGGATGTTACGATTGTTCTTAATAATTTGGATGTCATAACAATCGAAACCAATGCTGTGGACATTCATCACTGTTGTCGTAAATCTCTCAATAAAGACTGCACTTTAATTTAAACAGGGGTGTAGACATTTTTTTAAAATATATACGTATATAGATTAGTCGTTATGAATAACATAATTATATATTGGCTAATAATAATTAAAAATTCTAATATAACATTTTCAAAATTATTTTGTATTATTTGCCGCTAATTTCTGACGTGGTATCAATGACGTATCGCTCCTCTAAACAGCATTTTACACGCAAATTATTTGTGTCACAAATGTCAAACGTCAAAATGACATGTTGCCTAGAGGGGCATTACGTCACGCTGTTAGGCCTAGCGCACACCGACGGAGGCACGCTGAAGATATTGAGAATAAATCGATTTAAAATATACCTAAGCTACTGTGGCATACGGATTTATTTTAAATTGATTTATTCTCGGTATCTTTGTAGCGCTTTCGCCGGTGTGCGCTGGGCCTTGCGGTTCCAAAAGAATGCGGCTAAAATATAATAATTACTAATTAATTAGTGTAAGGGATATAAGATTTGAATGTAATCGTTGCATGGTAGAATAATTCGGGAAAAAACATGTTATTAATTTTTTTGTTGTATCTATCTACACCCCTTTTAGTTTATTTAAGTTTAATTTGAATAAAACATATTTGTTATCACCAACAATTGCGTTTTTTTTCGCCGCTTGAGAACCAATTTTCGTTATATTATTAAATTAAGGACATTAGTTATTCAGTGGACCCTTTCTTATTTTATTCATTCCATCCTACTATTTATGAAGATATCTTATTATATTATAGTTACATAAGACTGAAATGGGCCACTACCAATGTACGAAACACATTTTAATATTAAACACAGTACAAATTCACAAATTCTCCTAAAGCATATTAAACGCTGCAGCGATTTACCTGCTTTATAGAAAAGCTCTCTTCTCTCTAAGAGAGAGGAGAAGATACTGATGTGAGAAAAAGTAATCATGACATGGAATTGTTTTCCCATACTGAGATTTTCTTCTGTGTTGTGAGTGCATTTATACAAATACATGTCTCACTCACAGCTTTATTAACCCTAGAATGGGCGCGCCTTTGTGCGACACGTAATTTGCGCGGACGCGTGGTGATTAATTTGCCACCTGACAATACCTGGTGGTAGAAAACTTCCTCTCATTCGGTCCCCAGCGCATTTACAACATCAAACCTATCAATACGTATTGCTAATGAGACTAGAGGCAGCTACGAAAAAGTTCGCGTCGCGTTCCCCACGCGCTAAAAAGAGCCATCAGACCACCACAGATGGGGCCCAGTAGGGCTGATGCCCGATGTGCCCGGGGTCCGGCTCAAAGAGCAGGAGTAGGAACGGGGTAGTTTTTAGTCAGTAAGAGTCTGACACTCTCGCCTAAACCAAGACGGGAGAAGTCATTGGATGATTTTTCGCCCCTCAAAAAAAAGCCTATCGAGCTGTTATTGTTACAGTTATTAACGTTTTATCGTACGCGGACGGCAAAATGTTCATAGCACGCTCACTCTAGGGTTAGTAAAATATATTCAGTCGGTCACACAAATAGTTATCCATTCTACAATAAAACTCTTGGATACATTGCGCTTCAGCCGGTCGTCTAATAAACATCATAATCATAAAACAGTCATTAATTCCTAGAGAAATCAAGCCTACAGTTTCTTACACCTCTCTTTCTGTTAGTTTTGTAATTAAACATAAATCTAAATATTTCGTATAAGCGAAGCTGCAGGACATCTTTTAATATAAAGGTAGGTACGGTGCAGAAGCTCCTGAAAAAGAACAGGTAGGTAGATAAGTAGCGCGGCGTATGTGTTTCTTGACATGGACATGAATGAAAGTATCTCATATGTTTATAAGAGGGATGTTCTGGTAACGCTTCATCAGAGATTTTCTCAAATAAACCGATGGAGGATGTTCTTATGACAGAATGTATGAACGACAAAATGAAAGTAATAGATGTATGTATGGATCGTACCAGATGGCGTGCGGTGCGTTATGCTTATGATTTCATAGATCAGCGTGTGACGGTCGACCTGCTGCATGCAGCGCTGATCTATGAGATTACATGAAACAGGATGCCACGCGAGCGCCTACGCCGTGCGCACGTTTAACGCAGCGTTCGGCCTAAGATAGCCAACGAAATCTGTACTTGAGGTCTAGTCTACAATCAAGATTCTGAGAGTGTAATTATAACATTATCAGGGGCGTTTTTTGTGGTATTATTTTCGGCGTAACATATAATTTTTAATATTTTAAGATCAGATTAATTGATTCAGAGAGAAAAAATTTCGCATCGCGTTTCCCGTGCGCCTAAAAGAGCTCTCAGACCACCACAGATGGGGCTCAGTAGGGCCGATGCACGATATGCCCGGGACTCCGGCTCAAAGAGCAGGAGTAGGAACGGGGTGGAGGAATTCAGAGAGAATGAATATGAATTGTTAATTCATTACATTTTCGGTTATCAGATCCTAGATTTCCTTAGAATTCAATGCCTAGATTCGCTTAGACTTCACATAAAACAGACAGTTTGAATGACGAATTTCAAAATACTAACTTTCACGTTTTTATTTAAAGTTACAACATGTTTAGTAAATTCCCAGATATAGTGTAGTATCAAGATTGCGACCAGTGCGATACCTAAGTCGTCAGTTTGTTATCACTTAACAAAAGCTGTTAGAGTTAACTGTATCAAGTGATAAGATAGTTGCGTCTGATAATATTTATCTAGCTGGAGTGACTTGTATAATATTGCAATGCGGTTATCTTGAACTACTTCGTAACGCCTCTGTACCTACTTTTGCAGGTTAGGTCTTGGCTGTAAGTTTTTTAAAGTAATTACTTAATTTTTTTTTTAAAGTAATCACTTAATTTTTTTTTTAAAGTAATTACTTAAAAACTTAATGCCTACCTAATGCTGTAAAATGCTCAAGTGCTTAAGTTGCTTATGGGTCGACGTGCTCCATCGTAGACCGCATCATCGCTTACTACCTGGCGAGGTAGTAGTCAAACGTCGGTCCATCAAATGTATAAAAGAACAAATCTTTATACTTAGGTATTGTTGATATGTCTTCGAGGTGTTTATAGAGGTACTAGCTACTCCTGCGGCCCCGGAGAACTTAACGGGTTACCAGGGCTCTGGCTCGAAGAGCAGGAGTAGGAATGGGATGGTTTTTAGTCAGTAAGAGTCTGACACTCCCTCCCGCCTCTGCGAGGCGGGAGAAGTCATTCGATGATTTTCGCCCCTTAAAAAAAAGCTTATAAGCAGTCTTGCTGCTCGGCCTCTATAAATTGTAGCGTGATGTTTTTATAACTGTAACACATTCAATCAAACAATTTTTATATACAATATTTATTACTATAGGTATATATAGATTTATAAATCTGGGGGGGGGGGGGGTTTGAATGCTTATTATTAAAGTAAATCGCGCTTAACTATAGTTCTGCCACTACAAATTCTTTGTAAAATGACAAAGACGGCACGATATTTAAGTTCGAATTCAGAATTCGAGCGTTATTCTGTTGTTTATCGTAAAGTAAGAACTTACATCAAATACATGTGATCTTCATGTTTATCGTCCGTAAGATACTGAACTAAGATGTATAAGCTTGACTTGGGAACCATTTCGGAGAATGCTATAGGTACCTATTAATATTACTATTATTTGATGACTGGTAATAAAAACTGGAATGACCTTACAAAAGAGATGTTTTGACTTCTAATCTATACTGATATTATAAAGCTGAAGAGTTTGTTTTTTGTTTGTTTGTTTGTTTTTTGAACGCGCTAATCTCTGAAACTACTTTGAAAAAATATTTTTGTGTTGGATAGCACATTTATCGAGGAAGGCTATAGGCTATAAAATATCACGCTACTATGTATTAATAGACGCCGAGAAGAGCGAGTGAAACCGCGCGGAAGTAGCTAGTTTATGATATCCCTGTTTCATTACAAACTAAATTGACACGTGCTAATGTCATACTTGAAATAATGATTGGCCATCCTTTTTCAAACATACATATAAATTAAATAAAGATACGCAACGAAAACTTTAGCAGCGTGGTCTTAAAAAAACCTGTAACTGTATAACTGGATCTTTAACTATACATTCTAAACGTTGTTTTTGAAATTCCAGGTGGTACGTGATAACAGCACGACTCAGCAAAGAAGTCCGCTGTTCAGTGATTTTTTACCTACACTATATAGTGCGTGGAGAGGAGAGAACAGACTGTTTTCTGACGACGACAGTCTACCGTCGGGGGGGAACATCGAATTCGATGGCAACGTATGCACCACCTTCTAAAGACTCAGCGACGACCGTTACGAATAGATTTAAACGCAGCGAAGTTATCTGATATATTGTTGTTATTGTTTTGTTAAATTTCATTGGTTGGTTAGTAACGTAAGTTTACGATATCAAGGTGGAGGTAGCGAACTAAATGTGTGTATCAGAACATGTTCTACTACTGAATAGTACTTAGGAAGCCAAGTGTCTAGTTGAGATAAGATTGTGTTGTAAATTAGAGCCAATTTTTCAATGCTCAGATAATTGTTAACTGTAGGATTACTTTCAAGTTTTGATAATTCTTCCGTACTAAAAACTGTCAACTGTCAATTTTATTCTATAGTTAAGAATTAACTGATGACTGAAAAATTTGCCCTTATTCAGTTTTGCATTATATAATTCAAAGTTTTAAAACTTATTTGGTTTTTGTACTTTTATTGTGGAGTTAGTCGTTCTTGCTGTATGGACAAGTTGTAATGCTGCTATTTGGATCGAAATTCATTATTGATTCGATTCTCAGATGTTCATCGGCTGTCACGCTAAATAAACCGGTACTAACCGTTTGCTATGTCAAAAATTTTTGTGAATAAACTATCCAACATAATATCGAACTAAAGAAATTCACTCGTTAAGTTAAGGGCCGATGTTTTCAGTGCCAGATAAATTATATCGAACGAATAACTTTGAATATTTGACAATTCTAAATACTGTCTAATGTCAATTTTATTCTAAAGTTAAGAATTATATGTTGATTGAAAAATCCAACAGTTGTCCAAGCATTCAAGAAATTAATATGTCAATAATTTCTTGATATTTAGATGATTTAATATGTAACGTTTGATAGATGGTCTCAGGTAGCATTGTTTATTTTGTAAATATTAACACGCTTTTAGGAAATAGAACGCGTGACACCTGTTACTATCACTTGCAGGTTATATTGCGCCATCGAGTGTTAATATTAATTGTATACGAGTCTTAAACAACACGCGATGGCACCGCGTGGAGTACGAAGTCTGTTTTTACCTTTATTTTTTTACTTTTAAAAATTATACACGCTGCATTTAAATCTAGACTTAACAAATTGATATAACTAGGAATTAGTTTCTCATCTAACATTATTCATTCACTTTAATTTGTAATTGTAATGCCAAACATACACATGTAAACATTAGTTGTTTTATAGTTACAAGACGCTTGTGGTTTTTGAAATATAAACGGTAATGATAAAGTGCTATTTATAAATATTATCTGTATTATTTCAAATATCATTGACCTAGTAACAGTTAGTATACAAACAAAATGGCTACCGGATTAGCGGTATCCGGAATTCGTATTTACGATATGACCTAACTAAACACGTGGTGAATAACGTCTTAATTAGATTATTAGACAAATATTATTATAAATTTGTTTACAAACATTAAACATTGTTATACAGCTGATTTTAAAGCATTAAATTACGGAATTTGTTTAAATTTCGCTCTAAAAAAAGTTGCCAGTAGCAATAATGTTTGCGTACTGGCAATGATATCCTCTATGAATGATTGCATAAAGGTCATGTGTAATCTCCGCACGTATTACGGGACGCACCGCTGACGCAACTTTGACTGGCGTCTTAGTCATGATTTGTATTTATAATATCTATTTACAAATGACCTGTACTATGTCTAGGTACTGGATTTAGGCTAGCTTGTTTACCGTTATGGATTCAGACATGCATTTACATTGGTATATTCAGTATATTCAAGCTAAGTGATAAATGGAAAATAAATAAAACCTCGTTCATTTTGTATCTATCCTTAGTCTATGTAAAAGCTTTGAAACAACAATTTGGTTAATGTAATTAAAAAATAAATACCACGCATTTTGCTTAGATAAAAATTATGCATAGATTTTGTATTATTATTTTAAGAAACTGAAATTCTGAATAGTAAACAATAACACATTTTCTACTTTTGTACTAAAAATGTGTAGAACGACAGTACAGTGATCTTAATTTAAATAAAATAAAACTATAACACAGCAATACAAGGAAAAATGTAAAGTGTCCTCAGCATAGTACCTACTGAGCAAAAACTAAAGAGTTTCGAAATACCTAATAGCGAATCAGCAAAAATTTATAAAATTTTGATGATTATATTATTACATAGGTAAAAAAGCCTTTTAACTTTAATTTTTTGAATACAATTTTTTCTACGAATAAAAAAAACCACAAGTGTCGTAGTTTGATAGCTTTGAAATTTGTAAACGGTAAAATAATTTTTATATTATATTATTATGTATATGCCTGTGATATACTGATTTGATTTATAAATTAGAGGATATGTTGTTTGTAATTAGTTTTGAAAGGATGTGCTAGTTGACATAATGGAGAGTTCATTGAAATATTCAAAATAAGAATGATACAAAAAATGTAACAATCAAAACTAATTTTGTATTCCTTTAAAGTTTGAAGTAGATAATGATATGTCGTGGTATTTTTTAACTGGAAAGGAATAGTCTAGATTGCTCAGTTTGTAAATCCAGCATGGCTAGAAGTATCTATGCTAGGATATCTGATTTAAATACCTATATTTTTTTCTTCGTAATTTCTAGGAATCTGTAGACAGTTGCACTTGCAACACAAATCTCGCTTATTTAACCGTGTACTCGAATTATTGTATCTTTCATCTTTTTAGAATAAAATAAATACATAGAATTCATAGTTTCTAGCAGTTTACTATTTTGTCTTTATACCTAAGTCTTACAATAATAATAGCATTTGCAAAAAGTTAAATGAATGGTAAAGAAAATGAATGGTAAACTTTAAATACCATGCGCTTAAGTTTATCTTTTGTCGAAATGTATTGTTCATTACGACAATAGTTTTTAAAGTTTTGTTATTTATCTTTATGTACACGTCTACCATATCATATACAAGTTTATCATGACTATAAAAATAAGATGCTAAAAAATTGTATCGAATCAATTCGAAAGAGTAAAACTGAAACCTTTTTAAAGTTTAGTTTATTATAAATACCTAAAACATTCAAAACTACATACTTGCGTAGTTTTGAAACATTTTTTCCTGCTAATCGGTTTTTTTAAAGTAAAAATAACAATGTTTTAATAAACATTATATTAGGTGTCAATGTCAACTATTATTATATTGTATTTTAGACGTGACCAGTTAAATAAAGCGTTGATTTTAACGAAAATCAACTTACTTTTGTTAGCAGTAAGGTATAATTATTGTTGCTTGTCTACGAATTGCTGAAGATAAATATTGTAAATACCTACAAACATGGAACCACTGTTGCGTCTAAAATATTATACTTATTAAACTTTTTCTTTACTTTGTTTGCCACCGCTCATCTAGGTCATATGATTCTATTATTTTAGTTGAGTGTATTTTATTTATCGTTAGTGCTATCGTCTCCCAATGTGTGGAGTAAAATGTAAGGTTTAGTCCCAATGTGTAAATAAATGATGATTTTAAATAATGTTTTTGATTATTTTTCTTATTAATTGACATGAGATTAGTTCACATCTAAATTAATTAACCGTACGATGATAACATTTTATTTTCGTTAATGAATGTCAAAAAAGCCTTAATGTGTACCTAATCAATTTAATCACTGTTCCAATATGGCGGCTATTATACAGTGTCTCTACGGCAACGTGTTAATTTTTACATTTCATTAAATCTTACATTTGAATAATTACTATAGGCTATGGTTGCAATCATTTTTTTTTAAGAATTATTTCGTCGAAATTTGTTTTTTATAAAAAATTACAACTATTTAATTCAAGCGACAATATCGAAAGGAGTCTTAAAATTAAAATATTGAGGACTCCTTAAAAAAATCGTGTGCTTTTCGAACGTCAATTTAGCAACATCTAGTCTTAATAATTTTGTTGACGGAAATTAAGCAATAGGTAATACTAACTGTACCGATCCGATAGGTACATAACTCAAATATTTTAATACAATGAACTTTTTATTTTCCCGCCTTCCTAAGACAAAGTGAAGCGCCACGTAGTGTTAAAATTTGGAACTAATCCAAGCCGACGCGCTCTTATTTTTATACATTTTTCTTGATTAAAATAATTAGGCGCTAAAATCACATTGAAAATAGGATCCAAATTAGTTTTAACACCGATTTGATTACATATCAGGTAGTTCAATTGGATATTAATGAAAATATAATTCAACATTTTTGCCCACATGCTAGTCATTGCTTGTTAATGGCGGACATTTTCGACCAATCAGCGTCGAGGCGTGCAGAAGCCCGCGCCATCTTCGTTTTCAAACTCATCTGGCCCCGCTTACTCACTCGCTCAGTCAGTCGCGCGTCGGATTCGGGCAGCCGTACAACTTAACTTACTAATTCTAGTAATTAACACCAAAATCAGAACAATCATGAGCACCAATGAAAATAACAGTGAAGTGGCCGTCGACAAGGTCGGTGATGAGAAGAAGGGTGACGCCAAAAGTGACCTAAAAGGAGCCAAAAGGGCAGCAGAGGTGAGTGCACATGTCAAACAAATGTATTCGTTATAATCGCTCGCCATTTTATTGAACGCTATTATAAAGGTAGCATTACACTAATTTCTTTATCTATATTGTTCTTGTACATAATTCCACGTGGTTAATAGTGATCTGTGTGTGTAGGCACGAGAACGATGCTGACTCTTACCGGCGTATTTTTGGATGTCATTTCTGTCGAGTTATGCATTTTAACGCGTGTGGGGAAATCGATGAGTCAAAATCATGATGCTCTCTAAAGTAACACGTAAATAAATATTACTTGAGGCACATAACATTTGCGAGGCACTAATTTTTTAGCTTTTGTTTACTCGTTTTCGATACGGAGGCATGACCTTGGCGGAAAAAAAAACATGGCGCGGGAACGTACGCTCTCCTCATTGATGTAGTTGTTATAGAAAATTGTCGACATAGGTGTTGTAAGTGCTATCGTAGTTAACTATCGATCATATTGCGGGAAATGGTTATTTTAAACTTTCTTAGGGCTTGTGTTCAACGTAGCGTGACGCTAGATAGATGGGTAACATGGCCGGCGCGAATGTCAGTGTTTGAGTCGGGGTGGACTGTCACAACCGCCGCGCAAATACATGTCGTGTTATCTACTCGATATGTATTATTATTATTCGATGCAATATTCAAGTCTGACATGAGTCAACCGCGCTCCAACCATTTCCACAACTATTATTTTATTTCGGCGTTTACACCGAAAGTAGTCAATGACCCGGCATTATTTGCATGTAGGTGTACATTATGTAGCTATTATATATCCTTTGTTCTAGTAGCACTCGATTATAGCAAATAGTCATGTGAACTTTTATTAACTACCCAAGTTAGCGAGAATCCTGAATATTTAACCAATTCTCTAAAATTGGGAATGCTTTATATCTTCTGTCCTTCTCACTCATAATATCGTACGTGCACGAGGACGCATGGCGTTTGCGGCTTGATTCAAACCTAAAACATAATAGGTTATCTTCATCGTAGGCTATAGGTACAACCATCTAAAACGTGTATGTTAATGAACGACGCTACGAGGTTATGTATCAACGTAATTTGACGGTTTTGTACTGTTTCTCGTATATATGGCGTCGGTTTATGAACGGCTAGGTAGGTATGCGCGGTGACCGCGTTCCGCTCAATTTTGCCAAGGGAAAAAGGGCCGTATGACGCCGGCCCCGCTCGACGTCGCTCTTTCCCCCACACAACAACTAATGACCCACGCTTCTTTATCGTTACCAATCTTTGTCACCTGCGTCTCATTATTATGCAGGTAACTTGCATCGTTTTCCCACAAAATCATCCGTAAACAGATCTCTTAGTGCATTCATAATTGAAATTATGTTGGCTGATGGCCAGTTATTACTTGTTTGATCTTGAGTACGTCAAGGCACATCGCATATTATCGTATATGGCACAGATAGGTAAGGTAGGATGAGAAAACGAGAGTTCCCGCCAATAATACGCTGTGTTTATAGGAGAAAACAACGGAGGCGAAAAAGGCGCGAAAGGAGGAAAATGGCGGAGGTGGTGAAGATGAGCCCCACAGCGATGAGGAAGACTTAGAAGGAGAAGGCGAGGGTGAAGAAGACGACGATGAAGAAGTAGAAGGAGAAGATGATGAAGAAATTATTGGAGAGGGAGAGGAAGACGATCTCGATGGCGAGGGTATGTTATTTGAATTCAATATGTATTATTCTATTTTAATTATCACTACGTTGACCCTTCTAAGGCTGCGTTATGTTTTAGTATACGATTGTAAACACCACGCGTATATACATACACGAGCCGTTGAGGTTATCAATTACCTAAACGATCATCTTTGAATTCAATAAATTTTAATTATATTTAGTTAAATGATATTGAATCAAACACAACTTTTTGTAATGTAAACTAATTGAGAACTCGTCTCAAGGTACCGGTGCACAGCACACACGAAATGTATCTACCTAATACACAGATTGTTGTGGCGCGTGCGTGACGCTAATATGCCCGTGTTTGTTGTTACAGATGAAGAAGTAGAAGAAGAGTTGCTTGGTGAGGAGGAGGAGGAGGATGCGTAATACGCCTCGTGCCTCTAAATGGACAATGTCACAGTGATGTGTTTAGTGCTCGTGACGCCCCGGACTGGCGCGGCCTCGCTTCGCCTCAACTGTCCACATACAGCGACAGCCCCAACTACAGGACACTAACAACAGTTGGGAACACGCGGGGCCGACATCGCTCCCACCTAAAACGGGTGCAGTTCTATTTAAATGACAAAAATGTAATTAATTAAGTCAAATTCAATGCAGATTTTCATTTTTTTACAATATTTAAGTTTGGTACTGAAAGCTGTATCTTTACTTTTTCTGCTCGTTATCGAGTATGTAATTAATTAAGACTTAGTAGAATGCTGTTGAATTTTGTCATGAAATGTACAAATGTGTTTTTCGGAAGTAAACTTTATTCTAAGTGAAATCCGCTCTGTATTCTAGGTCTACCTGTGAGCCCGTTGAATGGTGAAGTTGTGATATTTTTCTATGCTGTAGGAACCTATCCATTAAAATATAGAATTAAGCCAGATTTGGCGCGTTATAGTAAATAAGCTATAAGTCACAAAGCTCAATTCTTCATTTTCTTGTTGTCGATGAGAGTTTGTGTGTACATATTTAGCATAAGTGAAGCCTGTGATTTTTATAATCAGTAATGTAACATAGTGTGAACGTTGCATTCAGGTTAATAGTTTTCTTTTATACAGTATATCAAATGCCGCGTTCCGATTACACAATCGTTTCCTCGTTCGACTCGATCGCATTTTGGATCGAGTGATAAAGTATGATAACGAAATAAAACTTAGGAATTAGTCATTTAGCGATAGAATCTGTACGGATGGGTGCCGTCCATGGCTACCGAGTTAGGACGAGGAAGCGTTCTTAGGTCGGCGTTCGTCGCTGTACGAAACGCGTTCCTATTCCACACGTCAGTTTACTAGAAAAACATCACAATTTTGCCATTATCTCGCGCCCATCGCGCGCCGGCCGCCCGCTCTCTGAACGACCGATAAAGAGAGCGCGACGGTCGCCACGGCGCGATAGCGAATAACAAAAATTATATCAAACCGGCCTGTATTTTTTGTCCATAACTGTTAATTAGGATAGAACCTTCAGCTCGGTACTCCAGTGTCTCACGGTGTGGAATAAGAGATTCCTAGGTTAAAGTGATTTAGTATGTAGGATGTACGTCATTTTTTATGAAAGGACGCCACGGGCGGGGCGGGGCGGCCGCGCGTGGCCTCGTTCGATTTGCCGGCGGCGCGGCGCTCCGCCGCTCCGCGCCCGCTCTCCGCACGCCCCGCACCACGACGCGGCGACGCGCTCTCTCGCGTGGAAAATCACCCGTTGTGCGCTATACATCGCTGCTCGGACTCGATGCCGACTCGCCAGTGATGTATTCGCATCGCCCCGTATAGACGCCGATCGTCACATGAGCGTTTTTGATACTTCTTGTTGAATCCGTTTTCACTCCGCTCAGTCTATCGCAGGGCGTCGGTGTGCCTACACCTAGTTGCAATGACTTATGATTTTAATTAAGCAGCCGGCCCGGCGTAGACGCGGCGAGGTGTTATGAAAAGCATTTAGCTAATTAATTGTTCCATTCGCGATTGAATACCAAAGGGAGCAAAGATGTTTTCACTAGAAAAAATTGACATGGAAATCAATAAAATTATCTTATGAGTAAATCTTATTGTCCCGCCTTTTCATTTTTTTGTGGTAAGAATGAGCTGTCGCATATTTGTACTATGTACGACTTATGTGAATACCTTAGTACGATTTTTATTTATTTGTGATGTTGAACACTATTGATTTTCTACAATGGACGAAATGTAAATACAACCGATTTTAAGTAAAAAGTTATTTTGTTTTTAAGCTTATTTATTTGCCCCACAGAATGTATTGGACTCAACTTTCCCGAATGATTCTTAATTTCAATTCGAGAACCGATTTTAATGACGTTAAAGATAGAGCGCTATAAAAATAAACATGGCGCATGTCTTGAGAAGCGCAATTCATTGGGCCGTGTTCATAATGGTAATAAAGTACCTTACCTTACCTACATACATTTAGTTCAGGATATCAATTTTGTTCCTCAA